TATTACAAAAAAAGATACATTGCTATTAGTGCCCCTCAAAATATTCCCCCTTGCTTCAGACACATTTATTCAATCATTCTTGCCACTTTCTGACACAGTTCTGGAAGTCCTCTTTCCTAAGTGCCTTTATGAGTTAAGATCAAAAATACAGTGGATGCTGTTGCCAAGTGTCATTCAATGGAAAGGCAAGCTCATAAAAACATTATACTATGACTTTATCCCTTTTATGCGCCAAATCCACTATGGGACTTCCAGCTCTTCCCCAAAGTCAAAATAAAAGTAAACATTTTGAATCAATTCAGAACATGGAGGCAGGCAAAACTAAAGACACCAAAAAAAGAGGACTTCCAAAACTTCTTCAGAAAGTGGCAAGAACAATAAAATAAGACTGTTTGAAGTGAGAGAGAGTTTTAAAGGGGAATAAATGGCAGTGCGTTTTTACTGTAATAAATTTTTTAATTTAAACATTCACTGTAGTTTTTATCACACTGTGTATACATACATACATACATACACACAATGTAATATTATTCTCCTTGGAAGAAAAGGAAATCCTGCTATATGCAACAATATAGATGAACCTGAAAGACATTATGCTAAGTAAAATAAGCTAGTCACAGACAGATACTGCACAGTCCTACCCCTGTGAGGTATCCAAAATAGTCAAACTCACAAGAACAATAGAATGATGGCTGGCTGAGGCTGGGGCTGGGGTGGAGAGTTGTTCAACAACAAAGCTTCAGTGATGCAAAATTAATAAGTCCTAGAGAACTGCTGAACAACACAGTGCCTATAGTTAACAATACTTTATCTGTTCCAGAGATCTGGAAGTCAACAATACTTTATTATACACTGAAAATTTTAAAAGTAGATCTGTTAAGTGGTCCTAACACACACAGGAATACACATACACACACGGAACAGAGGGAAACTTTTTATTTTAGGGATGGTTTTATGGGTGTATGTAGGTCTTCAACTTAGTAAATTGTACACATTAAAATGTGCAGTTTTTAATATAAAATCAATTATACCTCAAAAATCTGTTAAAAATAAAATAGAAGCACAAAAGAAAGTCTGCTTCAAAGAACTTCAATCTTCTCGTTTATTTCCATAATAGTAACCTTACATATACTGGCATCCACATGTTCATTAACCTGACAGGTTGATGCCTGTTTCACAAATATCTGCATTTTAAACTAATAAGAGGTACCTAGCATTGGTATAGTCAGTGATTTGGATTTTTCTCATGTGCTCTGTCTTTAATATAAAAGACAAACCAGGGCCGGGGATTTAGCTCAGTGGTACCACACCTGCCTTGCAAGCACAAGATCCTGAGTTCAATCCCCAATACCTCAAACAAACAAACCATTATAACCTATTTTTCCTAAGTAAAGCCATCTAATAAAGCTTCCACACTTTTTCATTTTAGCTAAATCTAAATCCAGGACTAAACCTCCTAGGGTACTGACTTTCCTTCACTCTTGAAAAAAAACAGTAAAAATATAATCATTCACAATCAAGGAAACAAATGGTAAATATCTTGTTTTTCAAGTTTACAGGCTGTCTGCTTCAGCAAAATATGTATGTGCTGTTGTGAGCCATGAAATTGTCTTTCCTCAAATTTCATATCACTCTTTCATTACCTTAACTCTTCTATGCCATACTTTTAAAAAAATTTTATATTATTCAAGTTAAGTATGTTATAAAATTAATTCTTATCTGTCTCTTACCATCTTTCTTAATTTTTTGTCTACATCCATTTGCCTTATGAAGTGTTACCATTTTTTATTCAATTCAATGACAAGGGGATCAGAGCATCAGCTGGAAATGGTGCATTTTAAAGATGGAGTAAATAGAAAATGTGGTGATTAGAGTGCTCTCCCTCACTGATACTAAAACCAGAGATAAAATGATGGAGACAGGAAGTTCTCTTTTCTTCTCCTTCTCCCTCTTGTCTTTTATCATTTTTTTCCTCAGTGTGTGTGTGTTTGTGTGTGTACAGACATAGAAAAGGAGGAAAGAGAACGAGGGAGAGAGAAAAGCAGTTGTATAAAATTAGTAATTGCTAAAATGTGTATAGCTATCATTTAATCAGAAGCAAAGGGATCTAAGTGACATAAAGAGTTGAAATAGAAGGAGGTTCTGTAAATAAGGACAGGAGGAGGATTGAAGGGAAGGGAGAGGAGGAGAGAAAAAGAGGAGTCAAAATATACCACGTACAGGTACAAATTCCCTTTGATAAAAGTGACCGTTGTGTGTATCTAAATTGTACCAATAAAATTAATTTTTAGAAAAAGAAACAGAAGGAAGAATAGATCTTTTGAGATTGAGGAAATAAAGCTGAATCATGAGACCCAAGGTTGCAGTATTCTAAATCAGTCTTCACACAGTAGTTCAAGATTACACTTACAAGCTACTAATAATTTTCAGTGTCACACACACTGCATTTCCTCCTGGCCAAGGCTGATTTTTTACCTAGTCCCTATCACTCCCCACCTCCTGCCTCCCTTTCTCTAACCTGTTGACCCCCGAGCACACTCACACAGAACTCCAGCTTTCCCAAACTCTATTGGTACTCTTGCCAACCCTTTCTCTTCTTTTGGTTTCAAATCAATTCTTATTCCCAGATTGTGCAGTAGAGTGTTGGCCTGGCTATCTGATTAAGACAATCAGATAAAAATCAATCAATTTCCATTCAAAAGGTGTACTGTAAAGAAAGAGGTTATTGATTCTAGTGGGTCTATGTGCATTTGCTGATTCTTGAGTAAGTGGCTTTTCATTGATTCCCCTCAAACAATTAAAACATTTATCTAAGTGGCAAGTGTATATGGGAACAATTTTTGAACTGAGGTACTATGTGGGCTCCTGGTCTAGTTAGAGGAACCCTCATATACCACTCCCATCAATCCAGAAATCTGATTAGTCTTAGAGCTTTCTCCCATTCTCCCCCTCACTTTCACAAACACACAGTAGAAGAAAGCATTTGGGAAGAGTGAAGGTCAGAAGCACAGTGAGTAGTGAAGGGCCCAAGAGCCACTCAATCTTGCACTAAAAAAGCAATATATATATATACTGCATAAACACTAATTTTCATTAAGAATTTGAACTACACAGAAGTACAATTAACTACTGCATACACTTTACCTGTATACATCAAGTAAAGTTTTGGCACATTTACCTTGGCTCAACCATTTGAGCATTCTCAAATGCTAAATCAATTGAAAATAAGTTGCATATATACAGACTTGTATCCCTTAATACTTGATTATTTCTTAACAAAGGCCCTCTCTTTCACAACAGTATAATTATAAAAATCTAAGAAACTTAACATTAAAACAATACTCATATCTAATATACAATCTATATTCAAATTTCCACAGCCGTCCTGAAAATTTCCTTTGTAACATATGTTTTTTAGGATCATGTTGCCTTTAGCAACACCTGATTAATCCCTTAATTCTAGAACTATTGCTCAGCCTTTGTCTTTCAAGACTGATCTTTTTTTTTTTAAGAGGATAGGTCAGTTTTCGGTAGAATGTTTCTCAATTTGCATTTTTCTGATTATTTCTCTGTGATAGATTGAGCATATGCATTTTTACAGGGATATCATGTGAGATATGTGTCCTCACACCACAAGTCACATCATGTCATTTTATTCTATAACTGATGACATTGATCATTTGATTAGGGTGGTGTCTGTCAGATTTCTCCACTGTAAAAGTGCCTTAGTTAAATCTTTATAATGAATAAAAATCTAAAACTACTTTGAGATTTCCCGGCCAGGCCTCACCCAGTGATTTTAACATCTATTGATAATTCTTGTCTAAAGTCAATTATTACTACAATAATGTTAAATGATGATTTCATAATTTCATAATTTCTTCTGTATGTATTAGTTTGGCATTCCACAGCTGAGAATGTTCATTTTTCTCCCCTATAACATTTGTATATTTATTTATTTAAAAATTAAGGTAAATGTATGCATTCATGGATTCTTTTAGAAATCCAGCTTCTGTGCTGGTGAGGTTGTGGGGGACCCATCTACATTGCTGGTGGGAATGTAAAATACAACTACTATGGAAATCACCGTGGAGTTTTCTCAAAAAAACGAAAAACAGAAATTCTATTTGACCCAGCTATATTTCTTCTGAGTATCTTCCTGAAAGAGTTAAAGTTGCTTTCAGTGATACATGTATACCCTTGTTTCTAGCAGCACAACTCATTGGTAAACTTTGGAACCACTCTACATACCCATCAACAGACGAATGGACAAAGAAAATATGGTATATTTATACCATGAAATACTATTCATTCAAAAGAATGATAAATTTGAGTCATTTGTAGGAAAGTGGATGCACCTTGAGTCTATAATGAAATAAATCAGATACAGAATGCTAAATATCATATAGTTTCTCTTACATGAGAAACCCAAAGCATAAATAATTTAAGGAGCAAAATAAAAGACAGATGATCAGAAACAGGAAAGTAGAGTTTGTGAAGATTGAAGGGGATTTGGGAAGGAGGGAGAAGGAAGAGTGGGGAGAAAGAATTCAAAAGGATCAAGATATATGATACGTAGATGTACCAATTCTCCACAATGAATATATTTCTTATGTATCACAAACATATACTAATAAAAATAAATCCAATATCTATCATCTCTATTATTATTCTTGACACTTAAATTGCTTCCAATTTGATAAGTGGTGATACCTACAAACTGTCTCCTTTTTTCTTTTGATCCATCCTTGACATATACAAGAAATTTCTTGCTTTCTGGTATCAAATCTTTCAAGGCTTTTGTACTTTCTCTGTCTCTGCCTTGGAATGAACCACTTCTCCGAAGAGTCTAGTTCCTTCTAGTAGAGAATGGTATTCAGAAACCAAAACCTAGATTCATATAATATATTTTAAAGTATTAAAATGTCGCTGTTCCTGTTTGTCGGGGTCACCCTGTGGAAGACTTGTGTGATGTTTTATAATCCTAACTCTAGCATTACCTGTGTGACGCTGGCAGTTCTTTTCATTCCGTGCAGCCTGGTTCGTCATGTGAGAAGAAATTGGACTAGCTAAATATTTCTTAATCTTTTCAAGTTCATGAACAGTTTGAGAATCTGATAGAATCAATGGTCCATCCCCTCTCCTGAGTCACGTCCAAATAAGCAAAAATATGCCCGCGTTTCAGGGTGTTCCAGGCCTCTAAGTCTAGAGGTTCCAAATCCTTGGTTAAGTAATCTTCAAAGTCTCCTCAACTCTACATTTTGTGAGACTGACCGGATGCTGTCAGAAAGATTCCTCAACGACATCAAAATATGAACAGATTTATATAGAACGAGATGAGAAGGGGGCACAAAGAAAGGAGCCCGTGAGTAACGTGTTGCTCAGCCACAGTTCTTTACTGGTGCCAAATTTAGGGCGCTCTACTCATAGGGGAGAGATTTTGGCGGGAAGCTCCGCAGGTGGGCGGAGAACGACGGGGCGCGGAAGGCGCCCACGGGATAGACGCAGGTCGCTGCACCCCTCCGCTCGGCCCACCAGGGCTCGCTCTTGTCCTTCAACTTCCAGGCGGGCGAACCGGGCAGGCCGGGTGGAGACCCCGCCCCCGGCAGCGGAGAGGTGGAGAGAAAGAGCAGCGAGCCTCAGCCCGGAAGGAATGCGCCGGCCAGCCCCGCGCCCCTCCCCGCGCGCC